AGACAGTTACTGACGTTCAGGAGTCATGTATTGGTACTACCATTCCACTAGCCATTGAACACAGGCCGAACTACCTTTCTGATGAACAATACAGGAACAGTGTACTAACTCTAAACACTGGGCAGTACAAAGTGTTTTCATACATCAATAACTGGTGTGTGGATTTGGTGAAAAGCCGCAAGACACACGTTGATCTACAGCCAGTGCAGCTTTGTGTAACAGGAGGTGCAGGAACAGGCAAATCACATCTCATATCTACCATTTACCAGATGGCTATTCGTACGTTGAAACATGAAGGAAGTAATCCAGAAGCAGTGAGAGTGCTACTGACTGCACCAACTGGTACTGCAGCATTCAACATCCAAGCAAGCACCCTGCACTCAACATTTCTCCTACCACTGGGTCAGACCAAAGTCTACAAAAAACTGAGTGATCAAAAGAGGAATACCCTACGCTGCAAACTTGCTGATTTGGATATCTTAATCATAGATGAGGTATCCATGGTAGGTTGCGATCTTCTTATGACTGTGGACCAGCGCCTTCGAGAAATTAAAGGCGTCAACAAAATCTTTGGTGGCATATCCGTTCTGGCATTTGGAGATCTATACCAGCTTGCACCAGTTTGTCAGAAATTTGTGTTTGAAGATGCTGCAGATTTATTTGCAAGATTGGCTGGCTCCCTTTGGCAAGACAACTTCCAGTTTGCTGAGCTGGATGAAATCATGAGGCAAAAAGATGACAGAGCCTTTGCAGAACTTCTGAACAGAATCAGAGTAGGAGAGCAAACACAGGAAGACATGACTACCCTAGAACAATGCATCATATCACCGAGCGATGACAACTATCCTTCAGATGCACTGCATGTATTTGCTACAAATGCAAGAGTCAATGAATACAACACAGAGAAACTAAGCAAGGTAGAAGGTCCAATCAGAAGATGTATAGCGGTAGACAAAAAGCCTAGTTGTCTGAAGAGTCATGTCACAAGTACAGATGCTAGATTCACAGGTGGATTGCCACATGTCTTGGAATTAAAAGTTGGTTCTAGAGTGATGCTCACCAGAAATATGGATGTCACAGACGGACTTGTTAATGGTGCACTTGGGACAGTTGTCGATTTTGTTGAATGCAATCCACCAGCAAGCAATCCAAAGGCAGTCCTGATCCAGTTTGATAACCCTACAGTTGGTTCAGCATTGCGATTGTCAATTCACTATGGCACATCACAACACACTACAGCAGTACCAATCCAGCGAATTGATGTTAAGTTCTCAATCTCTGCAAAGAAACAAGGCTTGGAAGTAACAAGGTGCCAGTTCCCCCTGCGACTCTGTTGGGCAACTACCATTCACAAAGTCCAAGGACTCACGGTAGCAGATATAGTTGTTTCAATGAAGAGCAGATTCGCAGATGGTCAATGTTATGTGGCTCTAAGCAGAGTCCCAAAACGCTCAGGTCTCCATCTCTTGGATCTGCATGAAAGCAAAATCAGAGCAAGTACTGCAGTGAAGGCTGAAATGGAACGAATGCGCACAGATATGCTGTTACAAACAACATATGATGACATCTCTGCAGCACTCACAGACAAGAGCCAACCTGTGCTAATAGCAGTTCAAAACGTCAGGTCACTACCTGCCCATCATGAAGACTTGAAAAAGATGCCTGGCTTTGAAAACTGCATTGCAATTTCTATCTCAGAAACATGGCTAACTTCAAAACACAGACAAAGCAACTTTCATCTTCAAAACTTTGATCAGCTGAGGAAAGACAGATTTTCATCAAATCCTGGAGGAGGGCTGTGTATGTTCATCAGATCATCTTCAACATACAATCTGCATGCGATGGAATGTTACATGCCTCAACTGGAGATCCAAAGTGCAATCATCAAGCCCCTGACCCACCCTCCATTTCTCTTGGTGAATGTCTACAGAAATCCCAAGTCAAGTATGAATCAATTCACAAAAGCCTTCTGTCATCTCTTGGAATTAGCTAATGCAACCCACCTGCCAGCATTTATAGTTGGTGATTTCAACATCAATCTCCTCACATCCAAGCACAGCCACGCAGTACAACGGCAAATGCAATGTTGCAGTTTCCACCAGGATGTCAAGAAACCAACTCACATCAGTGGCTCACTACTGGACCATGTCTACTCCAATACCCCTACCAACATCTGGCAGAGTGCAACACATTACAGTGATCATGATGTTATCTGGATTCTTGCCAGTTTTTGAACAAATGGTAAATCTATCTATGATCTCTTTAAAATGTATGTTATGCAAATATATTTAATATTCACTTAAACAATACAACTGGGTCTGTTACATAAAACTTACCATTGATGGTAACTTTGCGGTCAATGGCAATTACCATGGTAACAACTAGGGCTTAACAGCCTATCAAAATCAAGGTTTTCAAACCCAGGTCTGTTACTAATAGACAAAGATTTTAGCTATTATTTCTTGAGATATTAAGAAAAAGACCATATAAACAATTCAATTCGTCTGATTAAAAAAATATTCTCATTTTAATAAGTTTTTGGTGCAAAAAAATGTAAGCTCATTTTATAGCTCACCTTTCTCCTCAACAAATTCCAACACATTCCATGTTATACAAATATGTCTTGATTTATTGTGAAAGTAGACAATTTACAGAATTATTAATGTGACCATTGACCTTATTTCCAGCCTTTACAGTTAGCGATCTCCAATCAGCCTCTTCACTCAAAGCATAGCCATGCCGTACAATAGAAGATGCAACGGAGCAGTTTCCACCAGGATGTCAACTAGGAACCAACACACATTAGATGCTCACTACTGGACCATGTGTACTCAAACAAATTACAGTGATGTCATCTGGATTTGTGCCAGTTTCTGAAGTCAAATTGGTAAGTCTATAACCCTCTCAGTGCCAAATTCCCCATTACATAAAGAAGGTCTGTGTGGTAAGAGGTCTGGATGTCTATACCTAATGGTAGAAGCAAAACAGAATATCTATATGTATCAATTAAAAGAGTGATCTCTCCTCTATAATGGCACATACCATACCCAAGGTACATACTTTTACCTCGGGGTTATGTGTGCATGTCAATACAAGTTCTATGAGGGCTCTCCGGTTAAGATTTTAAAGAGTAAAAACATTTGTATGAGGTGCCTCTGATGACACAAATGAAACATTATGATTCAATATTAGAACAAAAACATGTCAGCCAGCACTTAAAGGGCAAGTCCACTTTAAAATAACTTGCTTTCAATAGAAGCAGAAAAATCAGACAATTAAAAACCAATTTAAAAAAAAGATTGAGCAAAATCAAATAACTAATATTAAAGTTATGAATATTTAATGACATAAAAAACTTTAAAAATCACAAGACAAATTGGCAACTCACTCATGAGTCGTTGATGTTATTGTCTCACTATCCACCAAGTGTGTTCTTTATATTGTTAATATAAATTTCCAATTTCCCCCCTAAAAATCTAATTTCCTCACACCAGCATACAAGTTATATTGATAGTAATATGCTTTTGTATGGACGCACTAATATAGACTAATTTTTTCAGTTAAATCATGAAAAATGTGAATTTTGATAATCTATTAATGTAAAAATCAATGATTATGAATACCGGTATACCATATTCAGAAAATAGTAACAGTTCTTCAAAGTTCATAACAGTTTTTGTCAAATGTCATGTACGCTATATGATACAAATCATATAACCTGGGAGAGGCATAGGGAAATCAAGCTTTTTTTAAAAGGAAATTAATGGGATAAAGATATATAAAGCATTTGATAAATAGTGAGGGAATGACGTCACAAACTGATAACCAAATTGGCAATTTGTGTAGTGACTTTCTAAGTTCCATAGTTTTTCATACTTCATTGCAAAAATGTCATAACTTCCTAATTAGTTATTCGATTTTACTCTATTTTTGCTCTGTTATATCTTTTGTTTTTTCTGCATCTATTAAAAGCAAATTATTTTCATCAATCGGTTCTTTAACGTGATCACAAGCTATTTTTGCAAACATAATAAGCCCTGTGAACTTTGACCTCGTGACCCCAAAATCAAATCAGTTCATGACATTGGCTCTGCAAGCTACATACATGATTAAAGTTTGGGGGTAATCGATCAATTGGTTCTTGAGATAATGCGATCACAAGCTTTTTTTGCATACATAATAAGCCCTGTGAACTTCGACCTTTGACCTCGTGACCCCAAACTCTAATCAGTTCATTGGCTTTGCAAGATATATACATGACTTAGGTGTGGCGGTAATTGATCGATTGGTTCTTGAGATTATGCGATCACGAGCTATTTTTGCATACATAATAAGCCCTGTGAACTCTGACCTTTGACCTTGTGACCCCAAAATCTAATCAGTTCATTGGCTCTGCAAGATACATACATGACTTAAGTTTGGCGGTAATCCATCAATAAGTTCTTGAGATAATGCGATCACAAACTATTTTTGCATACATAATAAGCCCTGTGAACTTTGACCTTTGACCTCGTGACCCCAAAATCTAATCAGTTCATTGTCTCTGCAAGATACATACATGACCTAAGTTTGGCGGCAATCCATCAATCACTTCTTGAGATAATGCGATCACGAACTATTTTTGCATACATAATAAGTCCTGTGAACTTTGACCTTTGACCTCGTGACCCCAAAATCTAATCAGTTCATTGGCTTTGCAAGATACATACATGACCCAAGTTTGGCGGTAATCCATCAATTGGTTCTTGAGATAATGCGATCACGAGAACGGGACGTACGTACAGACGTACGTACAGACGTACGGACGGACGGACGGACGGACGGACGGACGGACGGACGGACGGACAACCAGAAAACATAATGCCTCCGGCTACTTTGTAGCGGAGGCATAAAAATTCATTGTTATGATTCTTCTGCTTCACATTATTATTATCAATTTCATCAATATTATAATTATTATTATTATCAATTTCATAAATATTATAATTATAATTACAATCATCATGATTATCATCATTCTCATTATGGTGACTCACTTCTACCCTGTCAGGCCTGCCAGACTGCGGTTGTATATGTCTTCTGAGAGGATCTTCTACTCCTATAACACCCTCTGCAAGAAGCTCTATTTTACCAAAATCTCCCTGCAACACAAAACCAATAAAACAAGAGAGTTAAACATAACCACATTAATAGTAAAATGAAAACCAAAAAGATATGTATCATGAAACATTGAGCAACGTATGAAATATCAGGAAAGGCAGAAAAATGTTTGTTCAAAGCAAAGCCCCTTGTCAGGTATAGTGTTTAAAGTGTGTCTGAACAATGAGACTATGCAGACTGCATGGTCGACTGCACTCTACAGCTACTCCAGACAAAGCCAGAGACTGACTCAGTTAGGCTCTGTACAAGGTGTTATGGAATCATGTGAAATGTAAAATAAGAGTTGGTGCCAGCACAATTTTATCTTTACTTTTTTGTTCAAAATTATCTGCCAAAAAAAGGAAAATTACCACCTTTTCAGTCCCTAAAATCTTAAAAAAAGTGACAGAAAATGGTTATTATATCTTCAGGTGCATTTCTGCTCAACGTCTTATGCCAGAGGGCTCCAGCTATATTGCACCTGGATCCACTATTATTAGATAACCCAATAAAGGGTCAAAAGACTTTTCTGTTTGTGAAATGCACTTAGAAGATACAATTCTTAAGAAAATTGGAGAATTATATTTGTTTATTGCCCCCATCCCTGAAAAAAAATGTTTGTACCTTAAATAAAAAAGATGAAAATGCTGTCTTACCTTTAAAAATGTGTCTTCAAATATTCTCATATTAATTTCAACAACTGCTCCGCCTCCTGATTCTAAATTATCTACAAGGCATGGAATCAATGCACACTCGCTATTCATACAATTCTGAAAAGAAGAAAAAGACAAAAACATAATAATATTATTACTTATAACAATAAATAACAATAATAATAATTATTAAAAAAATAACAATAATCACAATGATAATAATAATGTTAATAATGATAATGATAATAATGATATAAATAATAATAAAAATACTAATAATGGTCTTGATAATAATACTGTTAATAATACTGATAAAAATACAGATGATGATAATAATGATAATGATAATAATAATGATAACAATATTAATAATAATAAGAAGAATTCTCATATTTAGGTCAAGAACATCTCTGCCTTCTGATTCTAAATTACCTACAAGGCATGTAATGTAATCAATGCACACTAACTATTCATTCTATTCTGGAAAGAAGAAGAAAAAGACCCAAAACATCAGATTTGGATGTTGTAAAATCTTTGTAATAAAATGAGCTCCCAAAACTGCTTTGTATGCCGTTACCCTTAATACCTGATATATACATGATTTATGCATGCAATACAACTGAAATAAACCATTGAGTTCGTTTTGGGGGAAAAATTGTTTGCAATTGAGTATACAGAAAATGTGACAAGTTAACATTAATATGGAACATTTATGAAGCACATAGGAAAAAAACAGGAAAGGAGAGGGAGAAAGAGAGAGAGAGAGAGAGAGAGAGAGAGAGAGCGAACAATACAATATAAAGTACAATACCAAATTTTATACCAACTACTAGTACTACTACTACTACCTCTACTACTATTTATTCATCAGAGTTGTACGTACCAGTTGTCTGTTTTTATTTGATCCGAAAAGTGTTGATGCTTGCGGTTGATTTTGTTCTGCATGTGAACTTGTCTTGTTCCTCTTTACAAGCATTTTCTGGAGTAGTCTACTCTGTTCTTCCATTAATGATTGGGTCTCGCAAACACCGGTCCCTTTTAACTGGAGAATCACAAAAAGAAACAAGTCTATCAGGGTGAATGTATGATGATAATGATGATAATAAGATTATAACAATAATAATAATTAGAATAAGAAGAAGAGGAAGAGAGGGGGGGGGGGGCGATTAGCAACAATAGTAATAATAATAATGATAATAATAATATTATTATAATAATAATAATAACAATAATAATCATCAGTGTCTGTGATATGTTGTAAAAGTGAAACCCTAACAAAATGTGCTTCAAAATGATCATGAAGTGCTTCAAAAAAGTAAAATCTTTTTCCCCAATATGTTATAAAAAACCTGTTCAAAACTGTTTGGCAAACAGTTTTTGACATTTCTCATTCCAATCATAAATATCTTGTAAATCAGAAAGGGGATCAGCTTCTAAAAGTCATGGGATTCCTGATTGACCAAAAGGTTTATAATTATGATTGCAGTTTGAGCTAAATCCAGGATTTTGTTTAGAATCTGAGGCAAACATAACCCAATCCCTTTAATAATAGATCAGAACACTTGACAGTGTTACCCAGTCATCGTATTCAATTAAAGTACACATACTCCATTCTACTTGGGAGCATTCCGATCTGGCAGCAATTTTACAGACGCACACATGCTATTCCAGCCACAATAACATTCGTATCAGCACCTTGTATCCTCTAGAAAAGACGTCACAATAGTTTCATAGGATTTAAGCAAGGTGATGCATTTTTTTTCTTGTCAAGGCAATAAACTTACTGCAATATTTGAGAAATAGATGAGCATGTCTCCATTTTTTGTCTTCCAAGGAATTGTGATATTGACGGAGGCCATGAAGGGAAGGTTGCTGGGTCCTAGATTCCGAGCCTAAATGAGAGGAGATAAAAGTAGAAAAGATGAATGAAATATTGATATGTTTCAATTTCCCTTTGTTTTGCTAACATTTTACGAGAATTTTACACTTTACAAAAATAATATAGATGACGTAAAACAACATAAATTTTATGAAATATCAAATCTTTTATAATTTTGTCAATACTTCAAAAGACCAAGACCTAAGACAATTTTGCCCTAGTCTTCAACTCGGGGCAATATGATCTCAGCTTGGTCAATATTTCTGATATACCCCTCAAGCCCAGTAAATATAATATAAATATCATCAGGCTAGTAAAACTATAGAAGGGCAAGTCCATTGCGTTTGGGGCCATATTCTGGAAGCTATGTTATCTTTCACGTTAGGAAAACAAACAGTGAAAGTGTGCAGAATAAACACTTACTGTATCATTGGTGCTTGCACAGTTGTCCCTTATAAATGTTAAGTGAACATAGCAAACTATCCTCGGACATTAACCTGTCTTGTTCTAAGTTTGATTTGTTATGACAAATAACATTATTTTACTAACATAAAAGATAATATCCTTTTCAGAATGCCATCCCGGGTTATTTTGTGTCCCAGACATTTCAGAGTGTCATGGAATTCAGGACATATTAAAGATTAAAACAATAATTTTCCTTGTTATAAGTTCTGATTCCAGCTAGAGTAGTGTAATCAACTATATTACAACCATCAGGAACCTGTTTCACAAAGCCTTTTTTGATGACAAATGACAAAAATTAGTGACAAATCTGGTTATAACCAATCAGAAGCTAGGATTTCAGTAGCTTATAACAAAAACTGTCATTTGTCACTGATGACAAGTTTTGTGAAGCGGGGCCCAGGTGTAGTAAAAACCTTGACGAGGTCAGAAACACATGGGACAAATCACCAGGGACCCGTTTCACAAAGCCTTTTTTCGATGACAAATGACAAAAATCAGTGACAAACCTGCTGATAACCAATCAGAAGCAAGGATTTTACTAGCTTATAACAAAAGCATTTGACACTGATGAAAAGTTTTGTGAAACGGGTCCCAGGAGTCATTTAAAAATAAAGATTAATGTTGTACAGCCTATTTGCGACTCACATCATAGATGTGTTTGAATGCCGGTCCAATGTGCTTGTCAAGATTGACTTTATTGATCTCCGATGGTATGAGGGGAAGGGTCTCATCCATTTGAGACTCGTTGACGGAAGGATCCTGGCTGTTTGTGCTGTTGGATGCTGGCTGCCCGTACAGCACACTGTTTGGTCTCGTTACCCTTTAATAAGTGTGGAAAGTCAGGGAAAAGAATCCAGAGTTATATTAATGAGGATTGTCAGAGAAGATATAAGTACACTCTCTCCCAAATAATGCCTTGAGAAACTCCTAATTTTAGCTTTGAAATATTGCCTTTTATGCAATCATTTGATTACTATAATGATGGAATAGCAAAATAGCAGTCAATTGCTGATTTATCTTTATGTTTAAGAGGATGCGTGATGGCTCAGTGGTAGAGCGGTGGTCTCGTAATCGGGAGGTCCTAGGTTAAAAACCAAGTTGATGCACTAGTGCTCTTTGGTAAGGTATTAATCCTTATTACCAATCTGTTGTACAGTCTGTACTGCATTATTCAATTCAAAGTAATTTTTGTGTTTCATACAATAAAGAAGATATAGCAGGACAACAACATTTATAATAATGATAATAATTATCATAACAATAATATTAATAAAACAAAATAATAATGATAATAATTAAAAAAAAAACAATAGAAAAAACACACAACAACAACACAAATGTTAATAATAATAATGATAACAATATTAGGAGGAACAAGAAGGCTATTAAAAAACATAAGCAATATTAATACTTTGTAACTGTGATAATGATGATCATGAGAAATTTCTAGTGCAAATATATACAATATTACAACTAAAGGCACATACCCTGATATTGTGATGTCTGCTTCTATCCTGATAGGTACCCGGATCCTTTTTATGTTGTTATAGAGAGTGTGATTATATTCTGTGCTCGACGTCGAGGCCTGGACCACAATATCGATGCTTCGGCTGTTGGCATGAGCTGTGGGGACCGACAATTTCACCCTAAAGCTGCTCTGTAAGATGAGAAATAACAGAGACAAGTAATTTTTTTTATAAATGTAATGCTTCCTGGGAGAAATTTCAATTATTTACACATATTTGTGGCTTACACCCAGTAAAAACAGATCAATCAATCGATCTTATTTACTGGGTGCGAGCCACAAATTCATTCCCCAATTCATTTCTATTGCTGTTTAACTTTTTATAATTCCGATATATTTGTAGACATGTTTCCATTTTGTGTGTATTTTGTGTTTTCTATATTGTATATAATCTGTATCTTATATGTTTTTTATGGATTTAAATTGAAATAAAACTTGAACTTAAACTTGAAATATGTTTGATTAATTAATTGACTTGTTTAACAAATTAATTGTTTTGATCACTTGGAGTCAAGTAACATCATAAAAATAAAACAGTTTTAATATCACAACCAAATCTACACTAAAAATCATTCAGATTTTTTTGTTAAAGCCTAATGGCACAAAAGCTCTCTCTCTCTCTATATATATATATATTTAATATGTTAGGAGCCAGAAGGGCATTGACTCTGTTAAATTAAATCAAACATTTACCACCCTTTCGATGTAAAACAGACAATATTAGAGAAGAGAAAAAATGAAGATACTCCGTATTAAAGCATAGGAAAAGATTAAGGGGAAAAGGTGAGTGAGCTATAGAGCTTAAAAGAAAGGGCAAGGAGGGAGAGATTCCAGGGAGATAAAAAATAGGAGGAAAGAACAAAACTATGATACAGGAATATCCATAGCTTGTATAGTATAGATAGTTACATAGTTGGGCTCATACATGGATCACCACAATAGTTCCTCCCATAGGCATTGTATGTGGGAGGGAACTCTTTGGATTTCCATGAATTGACCTTTGAGTGTGTACAAGTGCATTGTCACAACTATCTCTCTCTACTAGCTATGGATATCCCACCGCTGCCACCATAATATGCGTGAAGCCTTGTTCAGACATGATGTGGTAAGCCGCCTCATTTTAAGAAGGAGCACCAAATTAATCAGATCTTTTACTAAATGGCAAGTGGATTGAAAAAAGACTTCGAAATGTGCAAACTTAGCAGTTTGATCAAATTTACAGGGATTGTATGACACATGCACAGGCCATAATTCCTCCACCGTCAATTAAACACACTTACCAAATTCTGAACCCTTGATGAAACACTAAACCTAACTCTCACCCCAAACTGCACCTAACTTGAGGAGCTTTGTATCAAATTAGCACATACTTATAAAGTTAAAGGCATTTCATACTAACGATCTTCTACCTGATATAATAGGGCAAGTCCTTATTACTGGTAAGCAGAACAGCCAAATTGGCAGACACCCTTCAGCCAGCTGCAGAATAATATCATCAACAAACACTTAACAAGAGGAATACAAGAAAAAAGAAGAAAGAAATTTATTTCACTCTGAGAAATAATATCTTACTCTTGAGTTGGCTTTCATTGGGTTATCCACATCACAGAGAACCGATGCAGTGTCGTTATTGGGTGTCAGCGGTAAGCATAGAACAATTGCTTCTTGTTGCTGTAAAGAGAAGGTAATGATAAATGATGATTTTTATCTTTTTTTACCAAGGGTAGTCGCATACATGGCGGTATCAATACAAATCATGGTCACAAATCTGCAGAATTTACATTTATTGATAAAATATAAAAATATTATCTAAAGATCATAATAGTGAAAGCAACAAGTGGCATGATTGGCCTGCCATATTTAAGTCCAACATGAAGTCGATCTTAGTATTTGTGAAACACCCTCCTGGGGTGAGAGGGATAGATGTTACCTCCGGAACAGAGATTGAACCCGAGGCCTCTCATAGAAATAATCAGAGCCTGAGAATAAGAGATTCTTCTTCCGGAAAAATAATTATGTACAATATATAATCAATGGACCTCTTGACTGAATTTACAAATTCTTTTGGCCTATCACCGGGCCTTGGCCGTTGTGTCTCCTCATCTTCTTTGCATTTCTTTGTACTGTACGTACTACGATGCTGTGTTATCAAACCATAATCTGTATGTATTTATGTCATGTTAAGGAATGAACTAATGAAAATCATACAATGATTAAAGCCCCTCTGCATTGGTTTGGCATGGAAGGATTAGACCCCCCTGCAAGGTCACAGGCAGATGGTTATCTCATCAAATCAGCTCTCAATTAACATAAGAAAAAGGGCATCATGGGGGATCAACAGATACCGCATTGGCATTGTTTGCTGTATAGAGGGCGCAAGTAGCATTTTCAACATTTTCAACAATATGAAACTGATTTTTTTTTCCTGCTCCCTTTGATGTTTTTCTTTTTTCCCTTCTCTTCATGGATGTAGGGAGAGATGTTTTAAAGCCCCACTGCACTACTTATAGCTACTTGTGCCCTCTATATAGCAAACAATGCCTAATTGGTGCCTGTTGGTCCCCCATGATCCTGTTTTTCTTATGTTAATTGAGAGCTGATTTGATGAGATAGCCACCCCTCAGTGACCTTGCAGGGAGGTCTAACCCCCCCTGGCCAAACTAGTGCAGGCAGGCCTTAATCTGTATGTATTTATCTCATGCCTAAGAATGAAATGATGGAAACAATACATGTACAATGATTAAACAAAAATAGAATTAGATCAATCTTGGTATATTAAAGGTAATACAAAGTTTTAGGAAATTTTGAAAATTGGGTGGAAAGTGAATCTTTACAATTTGATATATTTGGATGCCCCTGTGGATGTATTATAAGCACTAAAAAAGTTAGCCCCCAAAACACTTCTGTTTTCGAGAAAAATTGAATATAAAAATTCACCGGTGCTCCCGGTAAATTTTGATAAATTTCAGAAAATAATAATAATAATACATAACATTTATTAGGCGCTTAATACTGATGTTTCTAAGCGCACAGTGTTCTGATTAAGAGAAGACTATAACCCGTAGAATTAAATTAGAAGAAAAAGCAAAAATACAAAAGTAACATAGATAAGGTAAGAAAAACAGTGGCAATCAACTAAATAAAGACAAATATGGTGCGCACCTCCATTGACCGACGCACAACTGCAATTTACAATTTGAAAAGATAGGTTTTGAGTAGAGATTTGAATTGAGATACAGAGGGGGCGCAGTGAATAAAGGCGGGCAGTTTGTTCCAGAGAGCGGGGGCAATAACTGAAAAGGCGCGGTCACCATACCGGGTGTTAGTGCGGGGTCCAGGTGTTAACAGTAATGTGGAAGATGAACGAAGTGTTCGTGACGACGTACGGGAACGTAAGGATATGAGATCGGAAAGGTAAGAGGGGGCTAAGCCTATGGCCGTACAATGGTAGCTGCGACCATGCAAATCTCAGAATATGTAGTTGTGATATACAATTTCCAAACGAGAATAGCTAATAGGTCGATTTTAGTCAAGGAACATCGTTTCATAGCTAAATTAATATCTTGACCTTGAGAGGGAGCTATACAACATAAAGAGTTTATTATCTATAATTTCAGAACTTTAGACACGATTTCAACCGCGAAAACGATCAATGGACCAATGGATATTGTAGGAACGCATATGCTTCCAATATGTTCATTTAAACCAAATTCATGACCCCATACCAAAACTTTGTAATACCTTTAAACAATTTGAAATTTTGTTGCTCCCACGTATTCTTTTATATTTCTTTTTGGAGGGAGGGAGAGATGTCATACTTATCCATATCATGCTTCTTACCCTGTTACTCTCCACCCTGACGAAGGTGATCCCGATGGGGTGTTCGATGAGGACCTGTGCTTGATGAGCTTCCTCCCCTTCGTTGATGAGATCCACCATCACATAGATATTATCTGCTGATCCAAGCGGGAGGTACTTGGTGCCTCTGCAGATTAAAAGATGAAAGAGAAGCTTGCGTTCTGGGGGGTGTTTCACAAAACTTGTCATCAGTGACAAATGACAGTTTTTGTTATAAGCTACTGAAATCCTTGCTTCTGATTGGTTATCAGCAGATTTGTCACTGATTTCTGTCATTTGTCATTGTAAAAAGGCTTTGTGAAACAGGTCCCTGGTAAAGATGAACTCCTTACCAACTCAATTGAAATTAAGTCCATCACGGAACTCATTTAAAGACATGCACAAGAAATTCCTCTTGAGTGATTCAAGAGTGTAATAATCTATGTAGTACATGTATTATCTTGATTCCTTAAGTTCATTCATCAAATTCTCTTGCCCATCTATTTCTTCCATGTTCTGTCTTGTTAACTTAACTCTCTCTCTCTCTCTCTCTCTCTCTCTCTCTCTCTATCTAGCTATCTCTCTCTCTCTTGCAATTCCTTGCGCTTCTCTCACTATAAATATGACTGACAAAGAAATAGGACAAAATATACAGTTCCTCAGGTAGACAAAGGAACATCCCTTCACTGCTATTATGTAAAAATGTGTAGAACAGGTGAATATGCATTTGACACCTGTTCTACACCTTTGTACATGAAAGCAGTGAATGGATTTTCCTTTGTCTACCTGAGGAACTGTATATTTTGTCCTATTTCTTTGTCCGTCATATTCATAGTGTCTCATCCTCCATTTACCTTTTCATTCCATCATCCCCGTTGTACCGTCTAAGCTGTCGTTTGAGACAAACACCTGTTATTGGGGTTGTAATGTATTTTTTGTCCTCAACGTTTAGAGGGTAAAGTAACTTATAGTATTCTTATTTTCAATGTAGGGATGAAATTTACAAAATTTATAATCTTTTATTTGTCCCAACTCATTTTTAAACCAAGCTTCACTTGTACTTATTGTCAAGATGTTTGTAATTTTATAGTTCTGTATTTGTATTTTTTGTGGTGTTAATGAGTGAATAAACTGAATTGAATGAAATTTTTTATTGTAAGCTTTTTTAAAATACTTATACATGTCGTCATTATTATGAACCAATGAATCCATACACTGATATATGTAATGGATTTGTCGGTTCATATAACAGCTGACGATGTATGCGTCACTTTGGAAGAATATCTTAGTAGAAATGTCCCTTGACAAAAAAAAAACTCTTCAGATAAGCATCTGAGGAAGGAGCGGCTTACTCTATCAGATATATATTTTTGTTTGCTAAGAAGAATCTTCATATTTTGAGATACCGGTAAGTTTAAAAGAAATAATGTTTCATCCTCATGGAACCATAGATACATGAAAATAAATAATTTATAATGATAAACATATTCTGTTTCTTATGTAGCACACAATAAATTATGATGTAAATTTCAAAAAGTGCAGCTCCACTTAGTCTCAAATGGCTAATATACAACATTTTTTTTGTGTGTTAAAAAAACTCTTAGTATTTTGAGGTAAGTTTGAAATAAATAATGCTTTTATCTTCATGGAACCATCGATACATGAACATACATTATTTTTAATGATAAATATATTCCGTTCTTATAAAGCACATCTCCAATTATGATATAAATTCCTAAAGTGCAGCTTCACGTACAACCTATTTTGAGGACCCTCCATCATCTTCAGTACAGTCCCAAGAAAAATTCGTTAACACAAATTCCATATTTGAAAGATGAATTTGAACATCGAGTCTAGCTATCACAGCAAGATACAGGTAGTACAGGAATTCCTTGGTAACTTCACAATGTATATGAACTCCAGTGAAACCTGTATATAAAGACTGCTTAAGGGGGGGGGGGAGGAGGGGGTCTTCATAGACAGGTGGTCTCCATGTAAAGGTACCCTTAGTATATGTTTCAATGATAAACCACTTTCAAGGGACTCAAAGACAGGTGGTCTTTCTATACAGGTGGTCGCTACAGCAGAGTTGACTGTACGATGCAATCCACATTGAATTTGCAAAGAGTCTGGATTAACTCATAGCCTGCCACAAGGCTGCATGGACGCTACTGTTATAGTGCTTTGTACATGCGAGTGAGCCATTGCTTCACTGCCTTGTGCATGCTTGCACGCATTCGTAATAGCAGTTATTGTTCATGCTTATTGGACTGTGCTGCGTCTTTCGCACGCGCTATTCATAGAACCATCGCGTTAATCAGATTATCTCAGAATAAACTTTGCACGGGGGAATTTGGGGCTTGGCACAATGGGGATTAGCCAGCCATGTGGCATGATAAGAGTTAACAAGTGGTCATGGATGGAAACATTATACTCACCTTGGGATGATGATATCTGCTTCTAGTTTTAGGTCTGTCACACAAGTAGAGTCATTGCCACAATTGTGCGTAAAAATTGCCTTTAGGAGAGAGAGAGAGAGAGAGAGAGAGAGAAAAGAGAAACAGGATTAAAGGTAAAGACCAGTATTGGAAATGCCCCAATTTCAAAAAATGAAATGAAAGCTCTTATTACCAATCATGTGAAAGAATATGTTTTGACTAATGATGATAACAAATTTGCCGGGAAACCGCCTACTAATTGATATATTTGGTAAATTAGTTATCTATTGGTATGTGAGAGATATATGCATGTGTCACAGTCCCATGTACATCTTTCTGTGTACAGTGCTTGTAACTTTACGAAGACTGGGCCAAATTTCTTATCATATTGATGATTCCAGAACCTTGCAGTACACACCTATACTTATACGCTAGATGATCAACCTTTTCTGATCGATTCCACAACGTTTCTTTCACAATGCAATCGCATGACCATAACTGGTGTTTATCTTTAAAACTTGTTTGTTTACTCTTGGGTCGTCACTAACTTCATTAACATTAGATGAAACTTGAACAGTTATGCATCAATGATAATGATGATGATGACGAGATGATGATGATGATGATGATGATGATGATGATGATGATGAAGATGATGATGATGATGTGATGTTGATGATGACAATAATGCTGCTGGTAATAATGATGATGATGATGATGATGATGAAGATGATGATGACGATGATGATGATGATGATGATGATGATGATGATGTTACTGCCATGGTAATGATGATAGTCAATCAGTTTGTCCTGGCAATAGTGATGGCAAGATGGATGTGAAACAAAATAGTTGTCATGGTGACAACGGTAAAGATAAAACTCACCTCTTGTACCACAGTGTTATCTGAGTAGGGGCTGATGGTGGGGCACAACCTGTTACATAACGTTACATAACGAGCACCCCCTTCAGTCCGCAGCTGGTGGGAGAGGCGGAATGGAACAGGGCTCAGGAAGTCCTTCATGTCTCTCTGCAGATGTAAAAACAAAATAACATTGGCATTGACGGTAATCATTGTTTCAAATACCTTGTGAACTCAGTCAATATATGCATGCAAATCTGTTCAGTTTACAACTTTTGCTGATACTGTTATACCTAATAGTATTACTGACTAAGTAATAATAATAATAATGATGATACTGATGATGATAGTAATAGCAGTAATTCTACTAACACTACTACTACTACTACTACCACTACTACTACTACTACTACTACTACTACTACTGCTTCTACTACTACTACTACTACTACTACTACTACTTCTACTACTACTACTACACACTGCTTCTACTACTACTACTACTGCTACTAATGATAATATGAACATCAAGGAAACACCTTTAAAACATGATCATCCATATTGCATAAGACACTCTTCTCATTCTTAACACTTACAAGCTCAACATTATCATAATTATTTCTGTTGTAATCATTGTCATCTATCATTATCTCTAATACAATTATTATCATAATTATAAGTATCATTATTTTATTATTACTACCATCATCATCATATTAGCATGCTATGTTTTTTAATGTTACACTGAAATGTGAAACCACAAGATTGTAAGTGTGAAACAATATGATTATTCATTATGTTACTGCAAAACGATGTAACACATATTTTGTAAATCATTGTGTTTTCTGACCAATAAAACTTACCAAGATAAAAAAAAATCATCATCATTATTAATATCATCATTATCATTATTAATATTATTATCATTATCAATATAATCTTCATTATTATCAATACTATTATCCTTTTTATCCTTATTATCATTATAGTCTCGTAATCACAATCATTATCATTGTGATCATTAGTATCATTATTATTATTATTATTCAAATATTTTGTGATTCTGAAAGGCAGGTTAAAGACAGTTTTGAGGTCTGCAGGACTAAATTCATATTTACCTTGAAATAGGCATCAATGTCATGGCAAGTCTGTTGACCTTTGATCAGCTGAATATTGCGCACAACCCTTGGCCCCAGGATGACCCCGTCTTTAGCAAAGGTGACTCTTGATGGAAGTCCAGTAGCAATCTTGTAGTAGTCCACCTCCAACACATGGTCCATACCTATGATGTGATTGAGGGAGAGAGGGGGAGAGAGGGGGAGAGAGGGAAGGAGAGAGGGAAGGAGAGAGGGCAGGGGAGTGGGGGGGGGGGGGGGGGTAGAAAGAGAGCAAGAGGAAAGAAAATGAGACCAAAAGAAAGTGACAGAAAGAGAGTGATGAAGAGGTGAGTCAGATACAGAAAGACGAGGAGGGAGAGAGAGAGAGATAAGGGTAGATAAAGAGACAGAAACAAATATATTTGTGCGGAATTCTGCTGTCTAAAAGAATCACTTAAAACAACAAGAAAGTGCATGTTACACAAACAATTTATGAGCAGCTGAGATGCATCTGTATAGCTTCTACATTGCTTCAGGATTGGTCTTGTTTTTGGAGCATGGAACACAGACAAGAATATTCAAAGCCAAAATTGGAGGAAAGCTGGCATACTTGCTAACATGCAGGCTTCTGATAGCGAAGAATTTTTTGTGAAGAATGTAGTAGATGATTGACAATGAAATTTTAATCTATAAGATTTCCCACCAGTTTGTGTGAGGGAGGTATAAACTAAGATTTTCTTAGAAATGGCCATCACCATTTACTTGATAACATGATGTACTATTTGAAGTCTTTTATCAAGAAGGCCTAATTTTTCTTCAAATTTATGGATGCTTCCTTCCAGCATGTGTGATGTTGAAGTATTTTATTCACCTGCTATTATCTTTTCTATTATAATTGTCGGAATGATATTTGCATGAATGATTTGTTGCTCTTCTGGGGTGAAGGTTTCTCACTTTCTCATAAACAAAATGGATTAGTATTTTTGAATAAATGAGTCACAATTTTTCCCCTGTTTATATAATATAATTTTTACCTTCTCAGCTATGATTTTCCCTCATTGAAAAGTAAAGGTTTTGATATGGAACTAAAAAGACCTTCCTACTAGTTCTCCTAGTACATTACATTATCAAGAAAATGGCTGCGCCCATGTCATGCCAAAAGGCATTACATCATGCCAAGGATATTTTTATTCATATATCTCTTGTACATTTTCGAAAGGACATCAAAAGACAGGAATAAATCTCATCTTTCAGCATACCTACACTTATTCTTTGGAGTGAAGTTTCCTTAAATCCTATCTGCACTAGTTTGGTCAGGAGGGATTAGACTTCCCTGTGTGGTCACTGACAGGTGGTTATCTAATCGAATTACCATAAGAAAAAGGGGATCATGGGGAACTAACGGGTACCACTTAGGCATTGTTTGCTATATAGAGGGCGCAAGTACCTACAATTATCGGTAGTGCAGTCTCACTTTAAATACTGATGTTGCTACCCTGAATAAAGAAGAAGACTACATCAAAATTACATTCTAGTTCATGTATATCTACCTATTGTGTATGGTACAGAGGCTCCGGTATATTTGACGCAGGCTGTGAGGTGAAGACAGGTGGCGGGTCTTCCATTGAGCATACATTCTGCAAGGTTGGTGTTGATCAGGGTTGGTGTCAGCGTAAGGAAAGCTTCCATCTCGATGACAGGTCGACTCCTGTATAGAAAGACCGCCAAATCAAGATATCAATACTAGTGATCTATGTTTGTTTGTTTTACCTGACTGCTAAGAAAGAATGTAAACTTGTAAATACCGTAAGCAAACAGGAAAGTGACGGCTTTAAATTCTCTCCAAGGGAGTTGGTAATGGGGATTCATGCGTTACCAAAAGGCACTAGCGCATTGACTGGGTTTTGAACCCAGGACCTCCTGGGAATGAAACCACTGCTCTACCACTGAGCTGCATGCCTCCATTATAGGCAGGTCCAAAAATTAACATCTACCAACTATTTTTATAGCAGAGACAAATTAAAAAGGAAAATTCTGACTCACAAAAAGAGGGCAGCAGTATCATTCTCGTAAGCGCCGACGACAATGTCTGGATAGCCGTTGTTGTCCATGTCCATTCCTCCAGAGATAGAGTAACCAAATGAAACCATGTTGGTTGATCCAAGCAACCTCTGGAAAACATAAATCAGGAGATAATCAGTATTATACACCACATGACAAGATTCTAGGCCTCTAATTGGTCAAAACTACAGGAATGAAGTTCGCTACTAATTGCTGGCCAGAATAGTAAGAGTATATGTAAGAGCGTACGCTTGGGTTGACTAATCTACTCAACACGACGTTAAGTGTTTACTGAGAAAAGTGAGAACATATTCAAATTGCAATATCTATTTGTAAAAGCAATATTTGGAACTCACATTTCAGACACATTATAGCCACATGGAACCCCTTACATCAAGAGCAAAACATGTTTTGGTGATCAGTACACTTTAAAGCGTGACTGCACTACTTGTAGCTACTTGCGCCCTCTATATAGCAAACAATGCCTCAGCGGTACCTGTTGGTCCCCCATGATCCCCTTTTTTCTTATGATAATTGAGAGCTGATTTGATTAGAGAACCAGCTGTCAGTGACCATGCAGGGAGGTCTGCTCCCTCCTGGCCAAACTAGTGCAGAGAGGCTTAAAGGACATTGGTTCAAACTTGAATTTCTTTAATAAAAAGTATACCTGACTATATGGTTTCCTGAGATGATGCTCTCCACCGAGATAGATGTAGACGGCCCCCCTGCTGTAGTCTTCGTACGGTGCTCCGATGGCCACGTCTTCGTACCCATCTCCATTCAGGTCTCCCACTGACTCGATTACAGTTCCAAAGCGAGCCCCAACAGAATTACTGCCCATTAGTTTGACATCCACTTTTCTCATAATAGCCTGTAATTAAGGACAGAAGGATAGAAAGGATGTATAAAATAATTCATTGAAAATATAATTTGCTATGCATGTAGAGTGGGCTTACTTTGATTCATCGAGTCGTCGAATTGGGTCGGGGGGTCACGTTGCACACCCTTTTGTGATAAAATTACCCCCTGTATTCACGTAAATGTCAGGGGTAATATTTTTGAAATAAACGCCTCTCATCTACACATGGTCATCATCATCATCGTCATCATAACCACCACGATCATCATCATCATCACCATCACCACCAACATCATCATTATCATCATCTGAAATGCATCAACCATAATAAATTATCATAATCACCACTACCTCAAATTTTAAATACCACAATCTCATTTTCACTCATTTAAAGTCCCAATTAACAGCATAATCATATTATTACTATTGTAAACTGTCTTACATTTCCATCGTTGATAAAGATGTAGACTCTGCCTTCGTCTTGGTTCTGTGAGTACTGTGGTGCCCCAACCAGCAAGTCTGTCAACCCATCATGATTGATATCCATACCTAAAACGGCAGCTCCAAAGTAGGTGTTCATCTTAACAAATATTAATGATAATAACAATGATAATAGTAGTATTAGTAGTAGTAGTAATAATAACAATAATAATTATTATTATAATAATAATAATAATAATAATAATAATAATAATAATAATTGTAATAATAATAATAATAATAATTGTAACAATATTGTATTTATGTAATTACAATATCTCAGTGCCATATTGTTTGTAACTACAGTATAGATGGTAGCATCAGATGTGAGTGAACTTTGACCTATAATATACATTCCTGATCATACCCTGCATAATTAGTGTCAATGTGTGTTGATTCGCTGTCGGAATCTTAAAAGTAGAGAATACAAGTGTTTATCATGGTGGCAGCAGTGGGATATTTGCAGCTGTAATGCACGCTATGCAGGTTAGCCAGAATGATATGCCAATGCAGGAGCTGAAGCAGCTTTTAACCGAAGCACCAGTATTGATGTACTATGACCAGACAAAGCTACTTGCCATTCACATTGGCGCTAGTGCAAGGGGACTGGGTGCTGTTGCGGTAATTTCTTAACATGCAACTGAAAGGGCACTGCCCGACAAAGGGCCTTTGCATATTCACTGAGCTCTTTATTATAAGATACAGAAATTTGAAGCATACAACCCTGATGTCATTACACCAAACAGAAAAAATGAAGAACACCATAGTTTACTGCTATATATGAATCGGCCACTGAAATTGAAGTCTTTCTGTGATTTGGGAGAAACCATGATAAAGTCTGTTCACACTTACAGATTCCCCTTTGATGCTGGAGATGAGTTGAAAATTTTGTAGATTATAGATGTAAACGTGCCCCTTCTCATATGCCCTTGGTGCCCCTGTCACCCCCTCCATCGATGTGGGTGATACAAAATGGCCGGAGCTAACTGCATAACCTGCAACACATAACAAAATGTGTGTTAATCATATTTCTGATTGACACTCGGCAACAGAAGAGAAAAAAGTAGACACTCTTTATTGTTCACAATTTTGATATAAACAACCAATAAATTATAATAAAACATATATCAATTTAAAGAAAAGTTAATACTCTACCAACAGCAAATAGGACAAGTTCTTTAACTTTCCTTCTCGGACAGGCACATTAATTTAGCCGTTAGAACCAAAATTGCAGAATCGTTCACAAATGTTTTGTTCACACTGCAAAAACTAGTGAAATTTCTGCTGGTGTTTTAACACAAAAAACACACCAGAGGTGGGTTTTTGTTCCTTGAGTTTACCAGTATTTTCTTAGCAGCTTCTGACGAAACACCAGAATGTGAGAAAATCTAAAAATTTGCTTGCAGTGTTAACGCAGCTAATAAAGTTCTTTCATTGTAAGATTCGAACCGTCGAGAATAAAGTGGAAAGGTATTTTATTGCATTAGGGAAGGAAAAACAGAATGCTTGGTTCAAGTGCACTTAAGAACTCAGTATTATTTTTTTGAAGTTGTACGGATGTGAGGTGATCACTTCAATATGAAGCACTTCAAACTTATCCATTTTACTATCAAATGTAATGAAAGAATAACATATAAAAGTAAGAGTATCGTGCTTGATCAACTCTTTTATCTTCATTCTTTAAACATGTTCCCAAACTTTCGATACACACATTAATTTCACCATTTTGGTTGATGAGTTTGAGAAAGGCTCAAATGTTATTTCTTACTGTGATATTTCTCTAAATTGATTTCTTTTACTCCTTTTTTTTATAATAAATATTTCCTTGTCTAGTTAGAAACCAACCACATCCTCATGGTTGCTAAGAATTTTAGAAATAATTCCTCAAAAAACTCAATATTAGTTTCCAAATTCAATCATCATAATTATCCACTCTTGTTCTTGAAAAATATTCTTGATTACACTTTGTATTTCCATATATGCATGGTATAAAGTATTTCCTGAACATTTAGATGACACACTTCTTTTACAAAGATATTATTCATTTGTAAGAAGCTTAAAAGTCACATTCATAGACCACTAAGATATTTATACTGAAAAGTGTACATCAACTTTAACATTAACATTAAATGATATATCTGTTCTTCTATTCCGAAAAATAGCAATTCTAGAGTAAAAGTTCACTCCCTAAATGTAACCGATAATATGTAAATACTAACTATGTCTGAGAAGCGCAGTAACATTTTATAAAACAAAATATGTTAAATATAATAATTTCATTATAAATTTAAAATGATATGGTTATGATTGTTGAATCTAAGAACAATGAAAGTCTTTTCAGTTTTATTTTGAATTTTAAAATAAAGTTCAGTTCATGTCTTTTCATTTCAAATACATTACTACTATTTAAGTGGAATGGAGAAACATTGAAATATAAATTTATGTCCTGGAAACATGTTTCATATATCCTCCACAAAAGAAAATGAATTTACTACTTCATCAAACTCCAGAATAACTTATATTTCCCAGTGACTTATACAAATTAACCATTTATGACTTTCGAATTCTTCAACACATATTTCTTAAACTTTCAGTGGCAGACACATTATATCTGATCATTTTGCTTCTATTCACATAAAGACATCAGACAGCAATGTCTTCACCCATTGAAGTATACAAAATGCCAAAATGAAATTTACTATTTTCTCATGTCTCCTTTTTACAATTAGTTCATATTCAATTATCTGTGCTGTTTGAATGTGTCCATCATTAAATCAGATATGTAAACTATCATAGCTTGATCTTTCGTAAGCAGTCATTGGTTATAGAGAAAAATATCCTTTTCTGGTGACATTTCTAACATAAGAAGATAGGGAAAAGTCACAAATCACTTTTCAACTTTCCTAAAACTCAATCTCTTCTTGAGAGGACTTACCAACATAGCTTTCATCCTTGTCCCCTGGAGGATACCAGTGTGTAACATCAGCCACGGTGGTTCCGCTAGATGAGATTGAAACAACACTTCCTGAAGAGAGAAATATAGCAAACACAGGTCTTCTCATAAGATTTAATAATAATCATATACCATTCTTTTATAGCGCGTTTATTACATTTTGATTCTCTATGCGCTTCAAAGGGATTTTGGATATAACCCTGGCTTTAGCTCTGGAGTCTGGCAATCGTAGCGCTAAATATATTCCAAGAATGACCCTTATAAGGTACCTAATTACTAAACCTGGATTGAGTGTGGCAATTGTAGGTTAATATCTTGTCATGATCTTGATCTCATACCTTGTATTTTCACACTCCGGAGACTTATCTACTACTACTAGATCACAACACCAATCTTTTATCTCTTACTATTTCCTTTTTTATAAAAAAGACTTGTACATGCATTTTAAAAGTTATGAAATAATACTAATCAATTTATCCTGTTTCAAATGAGGGTACACTGAAAGATCATACTATCAGTATACTTTAACAATATCTATGATAGATACGTGTATCTAGAAAGAAAAAGAAATTTGTTCTGAAAGAGAATGTAACTTGCCCAAAATTTAGAGCTTCTTTTTGGATACGCTAAGAGCTCGAAGGGCATTAACTATAGACAAAATTAGATAAGTGAACACCTTTGTGGATCTCAGCATACAAATTATCTCCAAAAACTTACCCCTCCATGCCAATGAGCCGACCGCCCCTAAGATGAGAGTGCTGCCGTCCATGGAGTAGGTCGCACTGAAGCCAGCCTGGCACCAGCCGTGCCACGCAATCCCTTTGCCCTGGCTATCGGCTTTTATCTGTACCTCTATAAACGAGCAACGGACAACAAAAATATCTTTATATTTTATTCTTTAAAAATACATGAATTTGACATTAATTAATGTTGCATATCCAGGGGGCATCAAGGGCATACCCCCCCCCCCCCCCCAGCCAAAAACTGGGAGAGGAGGATGGAAGAAAAGAAGAACTTATGGGTAATTATTTTTTTGGATTGTCACAGTATTTTCTAACTACTGTACTTGTCCGCACCCCCTCCCCTTTACCAGATACAAGAGGATGAAAATACTTCTTTCAAGCCAAATGCAATATACAAGTGCTTGTCATTGAAAATAAGATAATTACAAGTAGGCCTATTAGCTGTCATGGGTTATCCTGTCATAGTAAATATGTAAATATTTTGTGTATCCCATTATGTATCTTTGCCAAATCAAATCAAATCAAAATCAAAGCCTTGTAAAGATGCCCTACTTAGTATCAGCTACATTATGACTAGCCAGTCATCTTGATAATCATAAATGTGTACAACTTAGTAACTGAGTTCTAGACATACACAAAATAAGCGAACTTTAAACAAAACTTAAACTTCGAATTTGATTCATCGGAAAAGACTAACTTTCTTTTTATTAGTTTCTGAAATATCAGAATGAAAGCAAAATAATTTGTAATGTATTTTTATTCTCAATTTTAGTCAGCATTATGGACATGAATAGACATTATAGTTTTAAACATTTGTACAAAGTATAAATTACAAGTATCACTTCAAGCCTTGAATTCTATAGAAGATGTAGGTTTTTCTTTCTCGTAAAATCAAGCAATTTTATTAATGTAAGTTTTACCGGCTTGTCGGCAAATAATTGTTCCCTTATTGTTTTTCTCATCTGTTGCGAAATGCGTTGGGAAGCTTTGATCCCAAACATACATTCTAAATGTAGCATCCCTAATATGTATACGTAAAATGGATTTTGTATCTTGTACAAGGCATCTGGTCATACTCATGTAAAACCCATTAATAGGTCGCGGGGGGGGGGGGGGGGTCAATAACTGATCTAGATATTTCAGGATATCCCCTGGCTTGTATTCTCGACATTTTACTTCCGAGGTACATGCCAACAACAAAACAGTTGAAGGAAATGTACGATAAAATGACACACAGGCGATCGGATGCTCCAACCGATAGATATGACAGAATAATAGGAAAAAGTTACTGTTTCTGAAAGCTTCTGTATCTAATAATATGTAAGTTTCGTGATCATCATATATTCAAATTTGAGAAAATCGCTCTCCAAAAGTCTATATAATCAGGAAGTTCTGTTAAAAAACCGAGGGAAAATGAAATTCTGTGACAAAATACAAGACACCGGATACTTTCTTCAAGGGCCAATTAAGTAATTTCCTGGTTTACCCTCGATTCGATTGATTCGTCAAAACAATAAATTTCCAGGGTTTTTTTCTTCATGATTTCAAAGGTTGCTGGGAGCCTCGATAATAGAATATGTCATAGTAATGTAACCTGAATAAGGTTGGACTATCACAACGGCATTAACTATTTTAAAGGTACTATGTCCCTTTTGCAGCCAACCTCAAATGCTGTAGAACTTTGCAGGAATTGAGAATATGTCATGTATGTCCTATCTGTGAAATTTAAACGTTAGCAGTGTCCTCATATTCAAATTATGCAAGGAAAACACTATTGAGTGACTGACTGGCTTTTTCTTCTTTGGTAATAACATACATGAAAAGAGTTGTAAAGGGTACATGAGCATTTGTCTACATCAATAACCCACTTCTTGTGATGGCCAAGATTAAACTGATTGAATCTTTCCGCAGCATAAAACATATGACCATTCGGTACAATTGTCTGAAAATCAAGACTATTACTTTTGGGCTCTATAGCCCTAAAGTCGATTCGACAACTAATAGTCGTTATTTTCCCACTGGAGGACATTTTAAAGCCCCACCTTTTTTAGGGAAGTTCTAAATTAGTATTATCTTTCAAATGCAGTTGGAATTTAACTTTTTCATTTTTTTTGGCCTGCAAATGGGACATAGTACCTTTAAAGCGATACTGAACTGATAAACTTTCTGCCTATCGTACTTTTTTTGCACAGCGCCATCTCAAGGTCAACTTGCCAACAGTGTGTGACCCAATACCTAATTTCCACTTCGCAACGAGGAATTCAAATTCTGCTACGCCCTTTACAGTCATTTACGGTGATTGACTCTCCCTTTTACAGATCAGTGATACTTGAAATGTCTAATACACTAAGATTTATTCGTGAACATTTTTCATCTAACAAGTAATTTAAACTTTATAGTATAACATCGAAATGAAGCAATCAAAACAAGATAGAATGGAAACTCCCTTATACAGTGGCTTAAGGATTGCGAGCTTTCCATCAATTGAAATTAGGGCAAATGCGAAACAATACACAAGATAATCAAATTATCCGATCGCATAGACTTTCGATAAATAACTTAAGGCCAATTTCCTTTTGTATTGTAGATAAAAATCATGTCGCGATGACGTAATGCGCGACTGTCATGTTCGCATTTTCCAACAGGGTCCTTTTTAACAAAACCTTTTTTCAATGACAAATGACAAAAATCAGTGACAAATCTGCTGATATTCTATCAGAAGCAACGATTTCAGTAGCTTATTACAAAAACTGTCAATTTTCACCGATGACACGTTTTGTGAATATGGGGCCCAGGTGGCGGACAGGAATATTGAAATTGCCTTTGGTGGATTTTTAGAAAGTCTTTCCGATCTTGTGGAGTGTAGAAGATAAGACCAAGATGCACTTATTTCTTATTCTCTTGCAAGCAAGTCATGCACGTACGAGACTTAATCATTCCCAAAATAATCAATCAATTTGTCAAGATTCGTACGTCCAAGTTACTGACCTAGAAAACTGTTTACCAGGAACTCTATAACTAAATTAAAACTTACCTGCGCTGTGTCCATTTAAATCATTCAAAAGAATCAGAATAGGCCTACCTCTTTTGTAAACCGAATCCTCTGAACTTTCAAAGTCAGTGATTATTTAAATATACGAGTCGGATATTTTAACACCAGCGTAAGACTTTCGATAAATCAACTTAAGGGTAATGGCAATGCTCAATTGCATATCCCATAGAAATTCAAGTTCAAAACCGAAGAAAACTGGTTTAATGCACGAATACCAGTGTCATTATATATCATGACTACGACAGCGGTTTTTGTCATAAAGCGTAAATCATCGCTATATCTTTTAGGACCATTATATTGACCTAAGCCAGCGAGAGTTCGATTCGCATGGTAAAGCCATCGGCATAAATCATATCGACTATCATAACTGTGAGTTGTTTCTGACGTCGGTGAGAGATGGTCTGGAAACAATTTCAAAGGTAAGTTGTAGATTCCCACGTTTTTCTTTTAACTTCAACATACATTAGTCAACACAAGGCGCGTGTCAATTTTATCGAATATCAACCTAACAGAAAGAGTAGATATTTCACTGAATATCATGGGCAATGATAAGTTTCTTTTATTATACCACACCGAAATAACTTCCAAAATGATAGGTACGGACTAACGTATATGTTCCATCATACAACTTCCTATTTCACTAACTCTGATTTCGAGAAACCAAAAATAATTGCACTTCATTCAGCCATTCTTTTTTAAAACTACAATCATACATGTTCGACTTGTGAAAAGGGGTGTCGCTAAATCAGGGTGGGGTAAGGATGTGTCACACCACACTTCCGCTCTAAACATCTATTTACAAATCCTTCACTGTTGCGTAACTATCTAACATGTACATTTTACAGGCTCAAATTTGGGGCATATTTCCATTTGGGCGGCACCAAAGCATTAGCTTTTGTGTCAATTATTTTTTGTTGTAAGCGACACCCCAGCAATCAAAGTGGTATAAGCAATGCCCCAATGGCAATGCCCATCTCTTGATGAGATAAAATGCGTCGGACTACATGGGGATCGTCGCTATAGGTATGCGATGGGACTCCACTATTCACATAGAAAACTTGTCGTAAAGCGCGATTAACTTTTTTTAGACAAATTTGGTCTGACAGCCCCCCCCCCCCCCTCCCCCCAAGGAAAATGTCTAGCGACACCCCTAAAACATTCTGAGCCAAGAACATTTTCCTTAATTACCGACAGTATGGTGAAAGGCCGATCTTGTCGTTTATCAGATCGGTGGTTATGACTAAACGTATAGTCACACTCACCATAGAAATACTGAGGTCTACCCAAACCTCAAGAAACACATGGTGTGTCAATCAGAAGTTTTAAGAGACTGTTCCAAGTCAATATACCAGTCTTTCTCCAGTCTGTCTTTGTACCTTCATGTTTGTAGGTCCAGATGAAAAGAGGCACTTCTCTCAAAATAAATCGTGATTCGGGTAACTGCTTTGTACATTATTTTCTACGAACTTCAATTATCATACCAACATCAGAGAAACTGGCGAAACAGGTTGCACTTGAGTTAACCGTACTTCTTGTTAATAATATATCATTAATATTTTTTTGTTTCATACAAATGGTGATGATAACCCTTGTCATTTGAAGAATCACCTTTAAGCCCAATTCAACAGATCTGCAGTATACTGCCAAAGTTAGATCTAGACAATTAATCGGTCGGTCATTAGAAAAATGCTTCTGACCGGTCAATAGCACTTTCTACAAACCGGTTACGCGTTTGGAAAAAGAAAAAGGCTTGGTCATAAGTTCACTTTCAATACTAATACGTCATTATTTTAAGATAAGAGAGTTATACAAAAATTACACTGTGTGAATTGCCTTAGTGTGAATAGTATACAATTATAAAATGATGTTTAATAACAAGATTTTACTCATGACCGGTCATTATCAAAATTACGTGTTAGGCAAAATAAAAGCCTGGTCACGTGTACGCTCTCTATCAATCATTTGATTAAGATCCACGTCATCATCTTACAATAAATGTAGTTGTAAAATGAACAGTGACCCGAGAATATTACACAGTGACAGGGGATAGTAAACCG